CTATATGATAGTTATATATATATCTCGATTCCAAGGCGTGACCCAGCGAAACGCCGGGACACGTATAACTTGTTTTTGACCGATATAACATTTCCCGTTGGTTTCATCCCATCCCGATTTTGACTGTCGCATAGTTCTATTATCACGATTCATTTATCTGGGCACACTGAACTTAAGAGCTAGTTGCTTTGATACCATCCTGGTGTGGTACACTCGTCATACTGATTGCCTGTTACACACATAATTGGTACGCCGCCGCAATATCGTCTGTGTCTTCTTTCTTGTTCATAGTTTTGTCTCTGTTTTGTAAAATTCGCAGGCTTTCTAGCGTTAGTCTGGTTTTCTCCTTTTTTCTTTATCTAATATCTTTACTTTGCCTAGATCAGCTGTGTGTCCACTTGTCAATATGTGCTGCGCTAACGCAGTGTTGTTTTTGTTCTTTCAGATGTCCGCTTCGTGCTCCCTTACGCGAACTCCTAACGCCCTTTTCGTCGTTCCGATGTAGATTCTATTGCAAACTTCGTTTTCGCTTCCCTTGCATGCTATCTCATACACTACGTTGTGTTGTTGGTGCGGCTCTACTGGTGTTTTTGCCTTGGTAAATATTGATGACAATGTGTTTGATTTGTAAGCTAGTGTTGTGTTTTGGTTATTTATATACTTATGGTCAAATTTTTCGCTTAATTTAGGCACATAGTACGCTGTAGTATCGTTTCGTCTCCTCTGTTGTTTTTGTTGTTAATATATTTTTGTGCTTGTTGATTTCATTGGTTTTTTGCTCAGTTAGGCTTTTTGTTATGTGCGCCGGGTAATTATTGCTCTTGAGGATTTGGTTTATTTTCTTAATATTTTGTTCTCGAACTGTTGATTCTGAGTTGATGGTCAATTTTGGTTATTTAAACTTTTGGATTCTAGGCGCTAATTGACTAATATGGTGGAGTGCAAGANATTATTGCTCTTGAGGATTTGGTTTATTTTCTTAATATTTTGTTCTCGAACTGTTGATTCTGAGTTGATGGTCAATTTTGGTTATTTAAACTTTTGGATTCTAGGCGCTAATTGACTAATATGGTGGAGTGCAAGAAACTCAGAATCAAATTGCTTAAGCTCGGAAGGCTTGCCGAAGTATTATCTCTTTGTTCACATCAACAAACGGAAACACCTCCACAAACATGAAAGATTTCTACAAACACATGAGATACAAGTACGGGGAACACACATGTTTCACGCTAAAACACTACAGTAAACAAAAGCAGAAATTAGCCAAACAGATGGCGCAACTGAAATTCTTACTAGAATGCAGGAGATATGAGCTAATACCTAATCATTTGACTATCTCCATCAAAAATGTTAAAATAGACACCACCTCCCAAAAGGTAGAAGCACAAATTGAAAAAACAAAACGTCTGTTTTTAATGAAAGTTTTGGACCTTGAAATCACGCAAACAAATATGAATGTAAAAACTACAAAAAGCCACATATTTCACGCGCACCAACAACTGAAGCAGAGTATAAGTGAATTAGAATTGAACTCCTTCATCTGCAAACAAAATTGTTTAAGTCAAAGCAAAACAGAAGAAAAAGAATCGATACAAACATCAAAGCTAGAAAAGTTAAAACACCAACAAATACGAAGGATGGGAATAAACTTAATCAATGATTGGTTTGTGAACAAAACTGACATTGAATTCCCAGCAGAAATAAAGTGGTTGCTGTCATTAGGTAGAAAGTTCACACTACCTTCAACGAAAAATAGTCTCCAACCGGTCCCAATGATAGCGGAAATGGAACAAATCATCCAACAAGAAACAGATGACAAAAGGAAGGAAATGCAAGATGCAAACTTAGCAACAATATAACACAATTTAAGCGGAGTATAAAACATAATGCAGCTGAAAAGTTTATTCTAGAGACCTTTAATAAGACAAAAGCGTTTCTAAAATTACATAAAGATAGAATCATTATAACGGATGCGGATAAGGGTAATAAAACCGTAGCACTCTTCAAAGCGGATTATACCAGAAAGATGAATAAATTACTTGAGGACAAAAATACTTATAAATTAATAAGAACCGACCCAACACAGACGCTTCAGAGGAAAAACAACGCTTTGGTCGATGAACTATATAAAAGCAAAGTTATTAACTACCGGGAGAAACAACTACTCGCAAGCACAGCTGCAACCGCGCCAAGATTATACGGGTTACCAAAAATAAACAAATTCAGAGATATACGAGTATATGTAAAAAACAAGTTCCTTAACCTTCTGAATTTCTGTCCAAAGGAGAATAATTATTTTATGTGTGATAAAAACTTATTCGTACAAACCTTTGGAAAGCCAATGGGCAACCCCCTCTCACCAACCATAGCTGACATAAAAATGGACGACCTACTGGAAAAAAACACTCTAGAACTTAAAGAAAACTTCGACATTGTCATTAAATTTATAACAAAATACGTAGATGATATTTTTGCAATAGTTAGACGAAACGATGTGGATATTATATTAAATACATTCAACAAGTACCATCATAAACTGCAGTTTACTGTAGAAAAGGAGACCAACTTCCGCATACCATTTTTAGGCGTAATGGTCTACAAGAAAGATAGCAAATTAATACTTAACTGGTACTCAAAACCTACATCCTCAGGACGATTGATCAATTATTTATCCTCATAACCATCCAAATATAAAATCAACACAGCCAAAAACCTGATCCGCAAAATCTAGACAATAAGTCATCAACAGTTTCGAGAACAAAATATTAAGAAAATAAACCAAATCCTCAAGAGCAATAATTACCCGGCGCACATAACAAAAAGCCTAACTGAGCAAAAAACCAATGAAATCAACAACAAGCACAAAAATATATTAACAACAAAAACAACAGAGGAGACGAAACGATACTACAGCGTCAC